ATAGAAATTGCTGATAAATAAAGCCAAGGTCATGGAATTATACCAATCTACCTTACACATACAAAAAAGGACGGATTTTCATAAAGAAGAATTCGAAGATATAAACTCTGGAGCAATCCAGATCTCAGAGATGTTCAAATCAAATATAAAAAAATTGTTGAATATCACCACTGAGCATAAAAAATATGCTATAGAACTCAAAAATCAAGTTGATACTATTGCAACACAACTGAAAGATACACTGTCTGAGACAGATATACCAAAGAGCTCAGAAATAAGTTTTTCAAATCAATACCAAACAGGGACAGCTGGAAGCAGCAGTGGACCCAAACGTGACAACATACCAGCTGATAATGAAGAAGATTACATTTCTGTATCATCAACCAAGAAAGTTATGATAGATGGAGATAAAAGAAATACCAAAACAATCAGTATTATAGATCAAGAAGATAAAATCCCTTTAGATCTAAAAGAATAAAAATATGCCGAAATAGTCAAAATCGTTTATGAAATAAAAATGAGTGATTCATATTCATTTCTCCAGGAAGTAATGTTTATCCCAGAATAACAGCCATGGAAGGAGGAGACACTTCATTTATAAAAATTATGGCAGACCATGGATTCATAGATCTGGTATATCCAGGAAAAGATTTTATTGAAATTTCGAAATTTGATGACATATTTATTAAAAAAGTATCCAGATTTGTCAAGGGAAGGAAAATATATTTGAAATTCTATTCAATCAGTCCAGAATATGATGAAGTTGTTTATTATCTAGTTGAACACATAATCTCAATTGGATATATTGCAGCCAATTTTCAAATTGATGTTACAGAAAATAATAGAAAAGTTTCAACAGTGACAAAATCATAGATCAGACATAGAAGAGTAGTTGAAATTAAAGCCATCTACAACATTGCTAAAAATTTGTTTGATAAAAAATTCTCATGCTTGTGCCAATATGAAAATTGGATGTTGGTATCCAATGGAGGATATGCAAAATTAGAAATTTTAAAAGACTACATTACAAGATTTGATATACATTAATTTCCAGAATGTCCTACCACTATAAAAGAATCTTGTCAATTAAGGGAGTGCCCCAACTGCATGTGAAGAAATAAAAGAAGAGGACAATAATAGAGCACCTTTGTTAAAGGTGTATGGAGAACAATAATACAACTGCATGTGAAAATATTGAAGATAAAGAGCAATAATAGAAAAATATGCTCTTTAGATAAAAAGTTGAAACAACATGTGAAGATGCAGGCCCAAAGAGGAAAATAATAGAGAGGCAAGTGTGCCTTGCTGATGTACTCGATGATGTAATAGAGTCTCATAAATTTGTATAAATAAAGACATTGTCATAGAGAAATATTATCTCTTCTTATCTTGAAATCCCGAGTTGTAAGCAATAGCTACTAAAAATCCATTCTCAGTTTGAAAAAATCAGTTTTCTGGAAATCCCTTTGTATCAAATAGAAATTTTGTATAAATTCTGATCGAAATAAAAGTCCGATATTTTTGATATATATACGAGTTTCTAAATCTTTATTCCCATAAATTCTAGATAGATCTGATAAAAAGTTTCCTTCTTATTTTAGCAAAAAGAAAATTTTTATTTAACATAAGTCTATGATTTCATTCTTTAGAAGTTGATACAGTAAGAGCAAGTAGCTGAAACAGTAACAATTTCATGAAGGCAGGAGGCTGTTGAAGGAATCAATTTACAGATTCAGAGTTCGAAGGTCACTCGGTTCTAAGAATACAAGTCCAGATCAAACATAAGGTAAAATTATTAAACTTTTGCTAAAATTAGAATGAATCTTTTTAAGATCTTAAAAAATCGTAGGGATTAATTGCATAACTTGATGCCAGTATATACAATTAAATTATTAGATAATTTATTAGAAAGAATGATAGAAGTAATAAAAAATATGTATTCTCAATTAAAAAGTATGGATGCATCTTCTGAAAAATATAATATATTAAATAATAAATGTGAACAATATATTACAGATTATTTCAATTTGGTAGCTAATAGAATGAAATTATATTCAAATATTCAAAATAGGGAAAATACAAAATAAAATGTTTAGAAGATTATGATATATATTACAATATAAGGGGTGTTTGAGAGCCATTTTTATGTAAAAATGTATTTTAGAATAGTAACTTGATGGAAAATATGTGGTTGAAAAATAAGGAAAAGTTTTTTATTTACGTGTAATATTATTTTAATAAAAAATGTGTTGTTGAAAAGAAGAGAAAAAATATATTTTGAAAAAAATGAGTATCAAACAAGGTCATAA